TTTTCACCTTGCAAACTTACTTTTTTTGCCTCTGGTGTACTTATATTTTTCACCTAATCTGTAGTTGCAGACCGTTGAATACATTTTAAGCACCTTTTGCTCTGAGCTAAGATTAGTACTATTAGTACTTTCGTTTGTTTCTTTGAATTTCAGTGCGTAATTCTTTTTGTTCAAGACTCTTGAATTTTTATCTTACAAGTTTTAGTAATTTGTAATGTATCCAATAGATGACAGTGCTGTATTCTTCTTATTTGTGAAACATAATAAACTGAAAAACTGCCTTTGTCGTTTACATGTCCTTATGAAAAGTTAATAACTACTTCTAATATATACAATGCCTTTTTTTTTGGCGATAGGTATATCTACCTCAGTTGGTAATTATGATTAACTGTTATATAAAGGAGGAAATCGAGTCATTGCATTAAATTATTCAACACTGTAAGATTGCAATAAATACTTATCCTGTTAAGTGGTTAAATTATCAATTATTCCATTGAGTTCGGCGAGTCTTATTAAAGGTACTAAATACGTAAAAAAAGGAAACCTATTTTAGCAGGTATTATTATTAAAACTTCTAAGGATTTATGAATGAAAGTTAAGTAGATTAGGTAGTAACATGTGAAACAGACTAAATCTGCCATAATCAGCACTAATGAAGCACAATTTGTCGGGCAATAGATTGTTTTTTAGCGAGAAAATGAATTTACTTTTACAATAGTCTTATATACAGCTTCAGTTTTAGATAATAATTAGTTTACAAATCGTGTTTTCTGGAAAAGGTGTCGAATAAAGGGAGATATCTCCCCACCTCTGAAAGTTCACATAATATGAAATAAACGCTTCAACTGAAATTTTAAAATTGCTGTTCTTAGTCCAGTTTAAAACATAACACAAGTACGACTCACAAGTACGGGATGTAGTTAAATGGATGGCGTACTGGACTGCTTATCGTAGGGTTCAAGACTCGAGCCATAGTACCATTGAAGACGTTCCGCACTTACAGCTGTGGGTGCGTTATAAAAGTGAAAGTCACTTCCTTTATTTGGACGAAGACTTTCTGGATGGCGAATGCTGCTGATTGACTGCCACCCCGTTTGTTAGTAGTTCAAAATTATGGACAACTATACCCGGACCCTAGGAATACCTAATTTGACAGTTTATTTAGTTCATGTGTCGCATAAGGCGTTGTTCAAGTTTAACATTCCAATTCCAATGTTATTTTGAATTATTATTTACCTCGTGTAAAACCTACCAAAGGGTTCATCTATACATTTTTGCTGGCCAAAGAAAAAGTACAAATAACATTTTTCTTTTACTGTTTACGAAAACCTGGCACAAATATCAGAGAGCAACAGACTGGTTGTGTGAAAGACTGAACTGAACTCTCAATAAGATACAGTTTTTTAGCTACAATAGAAACCGATCCGTATATCTTTAACTCTCAAATCAATAAAACGCACATTTGTTTCAACATCAGTAACCTAACAGGTACTGTTTCTTATCACTAACTTTACTCTAACTAATATTTAAATGTGAAATACAATCGCTCGTATTGTTTTCAGCAAGCCATGGTTTTTCATCAGAATGAGAGTGAGCGAGGAAGTATCGGTTATTAATGGAAGTTCCAATCTTTGTTAAGATGTCTGCATCTTTTTTCTAAATTGTTTGATTTCTGATCTTTTTAAAAAAAATATCACATAGTCAGAACTAAACGTGATCTCGTAAAAATCAGGTTCTCACAAATAAATGTACAGAATAAGGAAACCGTTCCACGTTGTTAGTTCTCACAATATTACGAACCTCGTTTTTATTCTAGTTGAACTGATTACGCACCCAAGCAGACATAAAGTTTAAATAATACTGATGATTTATGCGCATCACCTGGAAAACCAGTATAAAGGTTGTTGACTATTTCATATTACTTCAATGTGTTTTTATGTACTAACATTTTTGACATCAACACTCGTGCAACTGAACGCACCGTGAATAACTGCATAGCTGGTAATACATGCATTTTTATACAATATATGCTGTAAACAGCGCCCTTGTCCAACACGGTCCATTTAGCGTTAGGAGTCAATCGTTCAAAAATATATATTACAAGGTAAACAATTTAGTCTTCATGGACGAGCACACATAGAATCACATAATTATTGTAACACACGGTCGGATGAGAGAGACTTAACCGAAACGTTCTTTAACCCTTTTCTTACTGGGGTTAATTCTTTTAGGAAGAGTACAGTAATAGAGGTTCAGACGATAGAGAGATAACGTTTTGAACCGTTCTGTAATTCTGTAGGATGTTTACCTTCCTGGTGCCAAAAAAAAAAAAAAAAAAGAAGAAGAATACAAAACAAACATAGTTTTCCCTTCCGTTAACGCGACCGTAGATAGTTAAAACATTCTATTA